GAGGAGGAGGCACTGCAGGGCCCCCTGGGTGTGCTGGGCCAGGAGCTGCAGAGGCTGCTGGACATCCACTGGCTGGGGCCCATTGCCCATCCCACTGAGGAGGTGGGTGTATAGGGGCGAGGTAGGGGGCCGCGGGCTGTAGCACCACACTCAGCCTGACTTCTCACAGGAAAGTGCTGGCAGCACCAACAAGGGCAGCTTCAAGCTTCGCCTCAACATCCCCAAGCCCAGGAAGGAAAAGGACAAGGTGCAAAAGCAAAAAGCCAACAACATCCTCCCAGGTAAAGCGAGCGATGTGCTTGGGGTGGAGACAAGCACAGCCCACGTTGGTATGGACCGCCCTGTCCTGGGCGTGCTGTGGAGGTAGCCTCTGGGAGAGGGACAGGGCATGTCCTGGCTGCCTGGGGATGTCACCTTTGTCACCAGCAGCTCCTTAGAGCTTAATTCCTCTGCTAATGGACGACACGCAGAGCCCCCATGTCCTGTAACTCCACCACCACTCCACAGGGGAGAAGGGGGCAATGGTACAGCCCAGGGCTGGGGGTCTTGTTGGAGGGGAGAAGCCTGGATGCTCTGTAAGTAAGCAAAGGAGAAGAGAAACCTCTCCAGGCTGAGCCTGGCGTGGGATGGGAGGGGGAAAATACAGCCTGCTGCCCCCACCACTACCTTTGGCTGCCTGCCCTGCTACGTCCGGCTGCCTTGGCAGTGGCCCCATCCACCTCTCTGATTTTCCTCCCTGCTAGCAGACAAGTGGGGCTCCGAGGAGGTGACAGCTTGGCTGGAAGCACTTGGTTTAGGGGAGTACAGAGACATTTTTGTCCGGCATGACATCCAGGGCTCTGAGTTGATCCTACTGGAGAGGAGAGACCTGAAGGTACAACCCTCCCTTGTACCCTCTGAGGGAGCACAGTCTCCTCCATCCCTCCTCTCTCACCCCTCACCGGGAGGGAAGGTGCTGTCCTGGTGCCAGGCCCCCCACCAGCAGGGCTGAGCCTGCACCGCTTGCCTCTCTTGCATGCAGGGGCGGGAAGCAGGGGAGGGGGTTGGTCCTAGCCCTCCAGCTTACAAAACGCTGCATGTCTACCCAAAGCAGGATCAACTGCACCATGCCTTCTTCTGCACCCAGGCATGGGGACATGCTTGCAAGAGGACAGAGGACTCCTAACAGGGAGCCTGCTCTGCCAGGGAGAGCATGGCGAGCTGGGCTGTGCAGCCTCGTCCTCCACCCTGTGGCTTCTCTGCCAGTGAGAGACAAGGGCTGGTCCCCTACAAGCACATCAGCTCTCCTTTCACCTTCCCACAGGACCTGGGGATCACCAAAGTGGGCCACATGAAGAGAATCCTCCAGGCCATTAAGGAGCTCGGCAACCCACCCTAGGATGGCAGCGCAGCCACAGCCCAGCTCACGCCCTGGGTGCTGCTCCTAGGAACCAGGGGTGGGCAGGAGGGCTCCAGTCCCCACCCTGCCCCATCTGTGTGGAGCCCCCCTGCTTGCATTGCTGTGCCTGTTTGTCCCCTGGTGTCACTGGAGCCTCTGCTTCTCCCCAAGGCTATGGAGCTGGAAACACTAAAGCAGAAGTCTGGCCCTGTAGGCAACATGCTGTGAGACCCAGCCCAGCCCACGGCAGGGTCACTACAGGAGCTCGGGCTGCCATACCTGTGCCCAAGCTGAGGCTAAAGCAAAGATCCCCCTTCCCCACGTGGGTATTTAAGCTGTGTAAATATTTGGAGAAAAGATACTCATTGCTGCTGCTTGTGTAGTGTCATTACTTGCAGGAAGGGTGATGGGGACCTGACCTCTTCTAGCCTTCAGCTTCCTGCTCTCACCCTTCCTGCCCCTCTTCATGCAACCTCCCCTGCTCAGCAAGGGGGACCCCAGGGCATGGGTTCAGACAATCTCCACTGCTATACCCTACCCTTGTCCCAGCAGTCACCACCTGCACATAAGACAAACACAACAGTTTATTGACAGCTCTACATGACTTTTTTTTCTTTTCCCCCTTCCTCCCCCTTCAGTTAAAATTGCTATTTATGTACATGGAGCTCCCCTGCCAGAGAGCACTCATCTATTTACAGGCTATTTACAGAACCAGGGCTAGCAGCTCTTCAATTTCTCCTCCAGCTTGAGCATGTCCATAGGGGTGACTTTGGCAACCTCAAAAAAGACCCTGGAAGGAACGATATTGGCTTAGACCTCAACCACAGCCCTGACACCACCAAAAGCCCTGCAGCACCCAAAGGTGCGTGCTGGTGGTGCCACTCTCGGGGAAGGGGGTACAGTCGAGCATGAGGCAGAGCCCTGTGGGGTTCACCTGTGTGAGTACTTGGTGCGCACGGCCTTCAGCTTGTCATGGGGCTGGTACGTGAGCAGGAAGTTCAGCCTCTTCACCAGGGAATGGAGGTCCTGGGAGCGGTACCCGCTGTAATACTCCAGTGTGGGGGTCTGCAAAGGGACAGCAGGGCTGGCCTGGGTCCTCTCAGTGACAGTACAGCCATCTTCCCTTCTTCAGTCCCCCCAAATCCGAGCATAGCCCCACAGCATCACCCCTGCACACTGGTCCATTCACTCCTGCATCCCCAGGGTGCCTGGGGGGGACACCACAAGTTGGGCAGACACTTACCCAGCCACCAAGGTTCTTCATGGTAAGTGCCAGCAGCAGGCAACTGGCAGCCAGCTTCGAGGGGCTCTCGCGGGCGTAGTCGTACTCCTGCAGGGTCATCTCGCAGAGGAACCGGGCCAGTGTCAGTGTCTCCATGGTGGCATGGGCGCACTACAGACAGGCAGGCAGGGAAGGGCTCAGACTTTTACCCAAATCTGCTGTCCTTCCCCTGCAACCTTTTTGGGATCTAGATTTCTGTCTCTGGGGCACAGGACAGATCCCACACCCCCAGCTTGTCACAGACAAGCATCTTCTCTCCCGTTTGAGGGCCCTGGTCAAGCCCTCCTTGCTCCCAGCTGTGAGCCCAGGGATCTGGGGACACAAGTCACCAGCCCAGGGGTGCCTGGAGGCACCCTGACACCAGGTTGCCCTGCTCCACACACCTTGGCAAAGCGTCGCAGGAACCGGTAGGGAATGGGGATGTTGATTTCAAACTTGAGGGTGCTGAGGATGCTCATCTCCATAGCAATGAGCTCTTCCCGCTTGTAGGCGTCATCGCAGATGTAGAGGAAGTCATCCACGCACGGCGGGCACCGCTCCTGCCAGGGCACAACTGCTCAGCACCCTAACGAGGGCAACGCTCAGGAAATCTGAGGTTATAGAGCCTCAGTTTTCAGGCTCTGTAAGAGCTTATGCGCTGCCAGACCCCAAAATAACTGTTACAATATCCAGTGGGGTAACACAAGGACAGACACCACTCCAACAGGCCTCAGGAGAGTTGCCTCACCCCATGGTGACCTGGCCTTCTCTAATAAACCATGGGGACCAGAGAGGCACAGCTCCCTTGGCCCCGGCACCCCAAGACAGTGCATGAGGGATCACCTCAAATTTGGAGGCGATGAGGATGGCGGTGGAACCGATGAGCTGCAGCTTGTCCCTCATGCTCACCACCTCCACTAAGTAGTGGTCCACCAGCTTCACGGCCAAGTACAGCGTCTCATGGTTCAGCTCGAAGTTCTCCTGCAAGGATGTGGGCAGGGGGGCAGGAGGGGGTGTCAGGCAGAAGCCAGGCTCACCTGCCTCCCCGCACCTCAGTTCCCTCACAGGGGCCAGAGATACCCAGAGAGACAGGTTTGGAGGGAGGGATGCAGGTTCATTACCCTGGGGAGGGGGGAAATCAGCTTTGCCCTGGGGACACTTGCAGGAGCCTCTGTCACCATACTGAGGTCCCACACACAAAAGGATGGGGGCTGCTTTGCAGAAGGCCATGCCCCCTCCCCACATCCATTTACCTGCACCTCCACCATCCAGTCCACCAGGATGGCACGCATGTCCCTGCTGATGTCTGGCTGCTTGTCCATGTAGTCAGGAAGCATGAATTTTTCCTGCCAAGTTACCAGTGGTCAGGGCCCCACGGGACACCGCCATCCCCAAACAAGCCCCCTCCCACTCCATGCAGGCCCCTGCCAGGTGCTCAGAGCCTCTGGGCAGAGGGTGGTCCTGTCTACATGGTCACCCCTTCTCCTGACAGG